GAATCTCCACGATTCAGTCACAAAATCGCGACGATCACGTGACCAGGTTGTCAGAATTTGATAGGTTTCAGTAAAGTGCTCAGTACTATTTGAAGAATATATTGTTTTAAAATTTAATTTCAATATTAATCAATTGGTTTTTGTAGGCAAGCTAGCATTTAATTCATTGTACAGTAGGTGTGAAAAGATTTGGAATTTTTTTATTACATATAAAAAATTGATTAATCATAAAATAAAAAAAAATATGATTCTAGTAGTCAGCCTTTTTCCTGTCTTATTCAATTAATTGTTGAAGTTGGGTATTCATGCTGTTAACTAATCTAAGACATAAACTTTGATCGAAGTCTGCCCATTCCCTTCTAATAACCTTCTGAAATTCGTCCTTCGTAAAATTTTTTTTAAAAAATTAATTATTATTTAAATTATTAAATCATTACTTTATTATCTAAATTTATTTACTTTGTTATCTAAATTTTAATTAAAGTTTATTATCTAAAATTATTTTTACTTATTTAAATTTCAATTCCGAAACCAAACTCCGAAACTTAACTTTTCTAAAACTTACGGCTTACAATTTCCGAATTTTCTATTGTCGGCATGTTACTCCGGAAATACAGTATATAATTATTACTGTACGGAAATTTCACTTGAAAAACAATGCATGCACACTGTACGGTGACGGAAGAAAAAGTTCGAATTTTGAATGATCAATCATAATAGATCGTGTAGGGTGGAAAATGGTATATATCCACCTGCTCTGAATGCCAAGGTTTCGATAAGTCATTTGAATCTCGTCTAATCAATAAATCCTCAAAATCTTTAAACAATATCGTTTTCTCCTTACCAAATAACTCAAAAAGCTTCACATAATAATGGCTCTGACAGAAAAACCAAACATTGTAATATTGGGCGGAGGCTATGCTGGAGTCAATATAGCCATAAAACTCGAAGCCGCATTGCACAAAACTCATCAAATCATTCTGGTTGAACGTAAAACTCATTTTTATCACTCTATCGCCGG